GCATGTTCTGAACAGAGTGGCAAGCATCACTTCAGAGGTCCTGTGTAGTTAGCATCCTTTGGATATTTTCTTCAGGTCACGCCGGTGTGTTGGAAAAAGAGCAGGCGGATAGACTGGCCGGTTCTGCACCATTTGGTGGTGAACTGATATATGACAAGCTGGATGTTGTAAGCGCCCTTTGGGAGCGAGTGAACAGTGCCGAGGAACAGATAGATCATTACGGTCTGAGGAGAATGGCACTGCGAGGAGTTACAAGGGGATATGGCCGACGCTCGACACTCGGGGAGGGGCGAGACGGATATACAATCAGACTGTTATTGGTACCATCAGAATTTTAACTCTTCTCTTGCTGCTGAAGATGAGGACGGAGCGCTTATGGGAGTGTCCCGAGTGCTGTGATGTCAATTCTTAATTCAACATTCAACATTTTTTTTTTATTCAGCTTAGATCAAAGCTTGCTTGCAGTTCAACCTATATCACAGCTAGTACCCGTGCCAGCAAAAATCACACAACATAATCACCACTGCTGCCTCGCGTTAAAATCTACAGACCTGGCAAAGCCAACAGCATGCACGCGCATTGAATACACAAGGCAGTAGGCACTTTAAATGCTATAGGTTGCTCCAGTGTAAGTGTTTTGTACTGTTGAAAGGGGGTTTCTGATATTAACTGCAATCGAATTGCTTATGAATAATGTCTGCCTCTGTCACTAGTTGTCAGCAAACACAGAAAAAGTGTGTGTGTGTATGTGTGTGTGTGTGGGGGGGGGGGAGGGGTGTTGAGTAAATTCCACCAAATTACTGAATGTTGTTATTTGTCGTTTGAACACGGTTGCTAATTCCACGAAGCTGCAGAATGGTGGTACAAATCGTTTAAACACGACAGTAAACGCTACTAAATTACTATGTGTCGTTACACTTTTATCGTTTAAAAACGGCAGGAAACGCTACTAAATTACTGTGTGTCGGTAGAATTTTATCATTTAAAAACGGCAGGAAACGCTACTAAATTACTGTGTGTCGTTACACTTTTATCGTTTAAAAACGGCAGGAAACGCTACTAAATTACTGTGGGTCGGTAGAATTTTATCATTTAAAAACGGCAGGAAACGCTACTAAATTACTGTGTGTCGTTACACTTTTATCGTTTAAACACGACAGTAAACGCTACTAAATTACTGTGTGTCGGTAGAATTTTATCATTTAAAAACGGCAGGAAACGCTACTAAATTACTGTGTGTCGGTAGAATTTTATCATTTAAAAACGGCAGGAAACGCTACTAAATTACTGTGTGTCGTTACACTTTTATCGTTAAAAAACGGCAGGAAACGCTACTAAATTACTGTGTGTCGGTAGAATTTTATCATTTAAAAACGGCAGGAAACGCTACTAAATTACTGTGTGTCGGTAGAATTTTATCATTTAAAAACGGCAGGAAACGCTACTAAATTACTGTGTGTCGTTACACTTTTATCGTTAAAAAACGGCAGGAAACGCTACTAAATTACTGTGTGTCGGTAGAATTGTATCATTTAAAAACGGCAGGAAACGCTACTAAATTACTGTGTGTCGTTACACTTTTATCGTTAAAAAACGGCAGGAAACGCTACTAAATTACTGTGTGTCGGTAGAATTTTATCATTTAAAAACGGCAGGAAACGCTACTAAATTACTGTGTGTCGTTACACTTTTATCGTTAAAAAACGGCAGGAAATGCTACTAAATTACTGTGTGTCGTTACACTTTTATCGTTAAAAAACGGCAGGAAATGCTACTAAATTACTGTGTGTCGTTACACTTTTATCGTTAAAAAACGGCAGGAAACGCTACTAAATTACTGTGTGTCGTTACACTTTTATCGTTAAAAAACGGCAGGAAACGCTACTAAATTACTGTGTATCGGAAGACTTTTATCGTTTAAATACGACAGCAATTTTCAATCTTTCAAACATGAAAGAAAATCCCAGTTAAGTACCCAGATTTTCCTGAAATTATGACAAACATCATTCAATAAATTCTATTTACTCACAAATTATATGTCAATGACCGTTTGATCACTGTAATCGTTAGGGGCCGTACTTAAAAAGCGAATGATCTGGCATATCACAAGAAGACATTTTAGTGATTTTGGCAGGTCGTGCACTAAAAGACAAACACACACAAAACCGTACACATTCTGTGTAGATAAAGGGCTGTTAAAAAATGCCAGTGAGCAAGAGAAGTGTCATGCACAATAACAAAAAGGCACGCTGTTTCGGGAAATTAAGTTTTGAATTATGAAGCAGAAATCTCCCTGTTCATTTTATTGGAGTTTTGGGACAGGGCGTTTGGTCGAGGGAGGCCAAATTTGGGAATTGTGATAAAGACTGCAGTGGGTAATGGTTTCCTGTTGAGCCTTGCGAGGGAAATAGGTCCTGGCAGCAGCTTGGCATTAAACATAACAATAGGAAGTATCGTGGTAATTTGTGGTAAATAACGAGGAAATAGAGAATCAAATAGATAAATACATAAACAGTGAATTAAGCTAGGAATCAGGAAAATAGGAGAGAAGATGAAAAAAAAATTATATAGACAATTAAACGGGTAAATATGTAAGTAGATATAAATTTTAATATATAGATACGGTATTACGAGAACTGATTAACAAATTAGAGGGACAAATAAATAATTAGCGAATTAGATTTTTTTTTTAAACTACAATTGAATAGACTGACAAATAATTAGATAAATCATCATCATCACGTACCCTGCCCAGCAACGCAGGCGCTCATGTATTTCCACAGATTTTGTTCCTTGGTATTTTGAATCACTTCCACTGATGAAATTCCTTCATTCTGTCGCTTCAGACCGTCAAGCATCTTTTCTCGTGGTCTGCCTCTGCCTCTTCTACCGTTGATCTTTCCAGTCATCATAATGTTCTTCAGTACCTATCTTCTCACCACAAGATCACATAACACTGACTGCCTCTTTCTTACAGTTGTATATAATTGTTTGGTAACCTTCCTAATGCAGTGACACTTTCATACAGTTCCTCCTGTTGTGGCGAACCCCAGCCATACAATTTTTTTCGTCACTACTTTATAACTTCAATGAATATGTGTTTTGCGAGGGTCTTTGGCGACCCATGTGAAATAGTTGTTCGACCCAAGAAAGGGCCGCAACCAATATGTTGAGAACCGCTCTTGTAAATTGTTTCCGAATTCCATTAGCCATTTATGGGCAGGCGTTGTTAGTTACTCCTTCAGTGGGACAGTTAGTTGTGTATACTTTTACATGACCTTGCAGAACCAACCCCAGCATTTTTTTTTCGTTGCGTGGTTATTACAATGCAATTGTTTTAGTAGTTTGCCATGCCCACCTGAACGACCAGTCTAGATAACTTTGTCGAAATCCACACAGCTGCCAAATCGATGCCAGCTGACATGTATGTAAACTGATATTTCTGAATTACTTAGCTCGTTCGAAACGCTTAAATCACAGACGCGGTGACTTAGATAAAACATAACCAGATAAATAGAACGACCGAAATGTAGAAGGATAATTAAATTATGAAATATAGACAAAAATTAGTGGTAGTATATTTTACCCCACTAGGACATCACACAACTGATAAACGTCACGATGACACCATGTGGGATCACCCGTGGAGAGGTCCCAGAAACCGCGATCAGCCATTAGGCTATATTTTTGGCCAGGCTATTTGGTGGCCCCTGGCAAGAGCCAGAGTGGGGCTTTAAAATAACGAAAAATGGCATCCCCCAAGGAGACGACCAGTGTTCAAATAGTGTATAGACAGAAATAAATATGTGTGCGAATGTAGAGCGCGTGCGTGGATACGTAGTTTTTTTTTTTTAGAAACATGAATAGATACAGATTTATATCAACGGATATACAGAGAGAGGATTAGATACATCAATGTATACAGAGTTCAGCATAATTCTATGGATGAATATACAAAGAATTAGATACACACATAGAGATAGTTTCAATATAACGGAGAGACTGTTTATAGTTTTTAGTCGAGGAAATCAGGAATACAGAAATTATAAGAAGACTAGGATTGAAACCAGACATCAGTTCATTAAAGAACAACAAATGAGATGGTTTGGCCACCTGACCACAACGCCCTGGTACCAACTGTCACCGAGAGCCTCGCTGAAGAAATATAATGAACGCAGAGAAAGGGGAAGACCACGCAGAAGATGGAACGACAAAATCAGGAGCAACCTAACATAAATGAATACCAATGTGTACAATGAATTGAAAAAAAAAAACGCACAAACAAACCTTACATCCCCCCCCCCCCCCCCCCCCCAATAATTCGCTGAGGTAAATTGTGGGGGAGGAGAGAAAGAAGAAGTCGAGGCAAGTTTTTTCTTCCGATAATATATAGGTTTTGCCCCCACCCCCTTCTCCCCCCCCCCTTCCCCCAATATATAGACTGAACAAATACAGTTTCGTTACCCATCTACTGAGTTGAGTGTATAGCGCGGCACAAGGGGATGTGGATTTTATTTGGAATCCTTTTCGACTGTACCCGGCGTGGTTTGTATTGTGAACTGTAGATTTAGAAAGGAGCGAGCTGCCTGTTGTCAGAGAGCTGTTGGTATCTTATGCAATTAATTGCATGCGCAACTACTGAATATTCTATTCAACTGCTGCTTCCACCTTCGATGAATTGCATTTCTGATGTCGGACTATTTGTGCTGGCACGTCTGGCGGCTGCTTTATGCATCTAATGCTTGTCTATACTATTTTATTTGCTGACACCGGAGTCTGTATCGGTTTTGTCACAAGACAGTATGGGAATTATAGGGGAATTCTATAGGAATTTCGTTGGCATCTAGGTGGTGATTTGTTCCTAAATAGTCTTTAGAATTCCTATGCCTTTTATGTGCACTGACTATTGTTTATTTTATTTTTTATTCCTACAGAAAACAGCCAGACGTCCCAACAAACTACAGCTCCCCATTAGACAGGAAGCAGCCGACACTTGGAAGATGGAACCTAGAAGGATATTCTTCTTCCTTGTTGGACTGCTGGTGTGTGAAGGGTTTGCACAAGGTAAGTAGCAGATAATAGGTACTTTTGAGCTGAAATGCTGTAGAAAGAATACCATGGACAAAGAAGAAAGAAATACTGACATTCTAAAAGATCTGGACATCAAGGAAGATCAGCTAATAAACAGCATCTTGTCTCAGAAGCTGGCAAAGTTTGGTCATATCAAGCGCCACAGCGGATTTGTTGGAGGGGGGGGGGGATAACAGAAAACGGCATGGTACCAGGAAAGGGGCGCAAGGGCCGACCAGCACGAGGCGCAAGGTTTGGCGAAGGACCTACTACATGATGATGATGAAAGCAAAGAAGAAGAAAAGAAAGGTTTGATATCCGGCTAGCTGTAGTGTCAAGCCATAATTTAGCACTTTGGGATGTCGTGGAGTGGAAAGAGTTCGGCAGTTCAAAATTATTATTCTTTCCTTCGCATGAGAAATAAATGATCTTTATCTGCAATGCTGTCTCTAGTATGAACTTCACTGTCTGTTGTACCGGCCCGTCTAGTGTGGTTTCCCCCTAGGCCGGATGTTTTTTTTTTTTTTTTCTGGAAATGTTGTCCTTGAAACAGTCTTGGAGGATGTGTCTCAGTGCCAGTCCACATGTGCACATGGCTGATTCGCCAATTTTAAATTGTGTGTACATGTAGCTGCGAAGTCGATTGTGTCCTGTTCTAAGGCGTAGAATAATAACTTGCTTTGGTCTGTCCATAAAATGGTGATTGTCTTGTGCTGGTTATGGGGGCTTTCTGACTGATTTGATTGTTGTCTTCGGTTGAAAAGAGACTGATATGTCAGGTTGTTCTTCAGTTGTACTTTAATTAGCTAGTTTATCGGCTCTTTCACTTCCGGGAACTCCATGGTGGGACGGTATCTATTGCTGACTGCTCTAATTATGCTACGGCAACGACTTCGTATCTCACAGTACCTTTTGCAAAGTCACCAAGTCGTCTTGTCCCTGTCCGATAACATCCGGTAATACGTGCGGCAGGAGAAACCAACCCTGAGCTTCATGAACTCAGGTGGGTCCACTCTCTGAAAATGTCTAGGGCCGAAACATTTGTCGACGAGAGGTTACTTCTACTGATGATTGGAAGACTACTGCTGTACATGCATAACTGTGAAGTTTCTTCTTATTGCATACCTTACACAGGTCGCCTAATTCAGAGAGTAGTTTCCGAGTGAGGAGCGGCTGGCCAAAGTTAGAACTCTGGGCTATGATGCGGGAGACATGGCTTCGAATCCTCGGTAGGGCTGGGGACTGGCACATAGGTAGAGCGGTAAACAGCCATTGTGGTCCCCTTGCTAATTTCTCTTTTGAAACTCCGGGTTCATGGCAGGGACACGTCTCCCAGCTGCTGCTTGTCGAGCAGCCAATTATGACTTGATGTTTCGGTCTGGTCTATTACAAATCCACGGTATTTAAATTGGTCGCCCTGCTCCAATGTCCTTTATCGTATACGATTTGGACAACTTGAGTTAAGTTGCGTCAAGAATTGACATCACAGCACTTGGTGCATTCCCATGCGTGCATCGTTCTCATCCCCAGCAGCCAGCGCAGAGTTCCAATACTGATGGTACCGGTCACAATCTGGTTATATGTCCGTCTTGCCTTTCCTCTGAGTGTAGTGAGCCGACCAGACCCTCTGGTTACATCCAGCTGCCTCATTCTCTCTAGGTCATAATAATCTTTTTTTCATTACTGATTCCGTTTCTTGTTCCCAAAGGGCCTTGACCACATCTGCCTTGTCATGTATCAATTTACCACCCAGTGGTGCAGATCCAACCAGTCTATCTGCCTATTCATTACCTACTACGCCGGCATTGCCTGGAGAAAAGATCCAAAGTATGCAAACTACCTATGACCTTTCAAGTGAAGCTTGCCACTCTGCTCGAAGCATCCATGTCTTCACCTTTCTCTGCCTGCTTTCAGAGTCTGTTACAATTACGACATGTGTATGCATCTTGTTCTCTAGTTACCAGAGAGCTGCAGATACCGCCTCTACCTCCACCTCCATTCTCATGCTAGATGTTGTGGTGTCATATGCTAGGCTGACTTTCACTAAAGATTTTCTATTGGCTTTAGCTACAAACCCCCAGGAACTTCTCTTTCCTCTCAACACTGAACCATCTGCATAGATAATCAGATCACCTGGGCGTGAATTGTGGTGAATCAACTGTTGGACTTTCACCTCCGTAGCACCCGCTGGCCACGCTCTGCACTAAAGGCACAACATAGCTGTGCTGGCGAACGTGACAGAGCAACTTCGGTGCATTATTACAGGGGAATTAGTTGTGTAGTGGAATATCAATGCGTAGGAATTAGATATGAATGATGGAATAATGGATTGCAGATGAGATCAATGAGTGGACTTTATTTTGTAATGGTAGGATTTATAATAGCGGGGCGTATCATAACTAGATTAGATTGGGTTTGTTATTTATTGCCGAGTCGTGGCTGGATGTTGTAACCCTTGCCATAGTCGTTATGTGAGCAATAAAAAAGTTGGATAGTCTCTGTCTCCGTCCCCCTCTTTCTTTCTTTCTTTCTTTCTTTCTTTCTTTCTTTCTTTCTTTCTTTCTTTCTTTCTTTCTTTCTTTCTTTCTTTCTTTCTTTCTTTCTTTCTTTCTTTCTTTCTTTCTTTCTTTCTTTCTTTCTTTCTTTCTTTCTTTCTTTCTTTCTTTCTTTCTTTCTTTCTTTCTTTCTTTCTTTCTTTCTTTCTTTCTTTCTTTTTTTTCCTCCTTTCCCCTCTCTCTGTCTATCTCGCTCGTTCTTCTCTCTTTCACTAGCACACACACACACACATATAAACTGGGAGGCCGCCAGGAAAACAACCTTGATTCGGTGGGGGGGGGGGGGATTTCAACGCAATAATAGTTTCCTTGGGGAGAGGGCTGGTCCGAGTGACCTAAGCCGTGTTTTACTGCGCCTTAACAATAAAGATAATAATACAAATAAAAATATTTTGTGAAAGGCAGATAAATATTTAATATGCCTGACCAAAAATGAAAAGTTTAAACATGTTTTTAGAAGTTGTAAAAGAAAAAGAGAATGCTTATACACATCGTTAGGATCGGAGGAAGTTCTCTGTTCCTTAAAAAGTATTGCCTGTGGCAGCTCCAAGAAGGGAGGTATAGGGGTTTAGGGCTCAAAATACCTAAGCCATCTCGTTCCGGCGTCTATGACACAAATACCCATACACACCTAAGTACCCATACATGTGCGTATGTGTCATCTTGCCGCTCTAGGACTGATACCTGTAATAACTCAAGAAAACTCAAACAACAACAAGACACCCTCATCTGTTGGTGCCAGACTGCCCGTAAGTTGCCGCCCAGAAGCAGCCCCTAATTCATTCACGCGACGTCGGCAGATTCATCTTCTTAATTCAGTCGTCGCCACCACAGGAAACGACCACACCGGAAATGAGTTTTTCATAAAATCAAAAGCGCCATCTATATCCTGTCTCCACGCCATGTCTGCTATCTGTCTTCACAGAAGGATGAGTTGTCGGCTCTTTTTGTCTGCAACCCGCAGACAACCCGAGCTTGGGTTTAGCCGGGCGGCCAACCCGCTATCACACAACTTGTTCGGTTAGGAGGTAAATTATATTTCAAGTAGGAAGAGGCGAAAAGTAAGACAGAGTGTTTATATTCACCACTGGAGAAGATAGGTCAGAATTATCTGTCGTGCTGGCAAATATGGGGTAAATAAACATAGATAATGTTCAATAATGAAGTGTTTTTTTCTTCTCCATTGCATTCCCCGGCTGTAAACTCCGTCAGTAAGTTCTGGCTGTTCGCCCACTTCGGACTTTGGCTTTGGTGCGAGGGTCGTGTGCACCCCAGTTTAACAGATATGGCTTATTTGTGTGCAGACTGCTGTGCCTCGCTTCTCTGGCGCTCCGACTCCCCCCCCCCCAAAAAAAAACCCACCTCATTAGTTGCCTTGTACGACATGCTGTAAGGGCAGTGGGTCTTCTCTTTCCCTCAAATACTGATCCCTGGAATCTAACTAAGACACGCACATCCGTTTTACAGATCTGACGTTTTGTGTGCAGACTGTTAGTTTGTCGCATATAAAACAGCTGTACTCGGACTTGAAAAGGGGGGGGGGGTGAACAAACTTGGATCCTCTCTACATTGGCTGCTAATTAGGAACCCGTTTCAAGGAGGACCATAGAGGGGTGTGAGCAGGTGTTGACCAGTGTGTTCCTGGTCCTGGAGCACCACTACACGTGGTACAGTACCCCTGCACCCAAAAGGGTAGATGCAAGTTGTAGTTCTCCTTGAACTCATTCGTGTATGGTTTTGCATTTTCCCCTAATCGTCTTGTGTTCCTTTTATTTTTTACATCACCTGCTCGGTTGCAGTTCTTATTTTAACACCCCAACCACTTTTTTTAGTGAAGATTGTATCCTTGAATGACAAGCAAACAAAAAGAATGGTTGTATCGAAAGAAAAAAATTATGACTCCAAAATGTGACATAGCAATAGAAGGGAAAGTGCTTACAAGTATTTGGGGATATTAATAAATCAGATGGATGATGTGTGATAGAAATTAGGAGCGGAATTGGCCAGGCAAAGACAGCTTGTCAGAAGATGAAAAGTACCCTATGTCATAAACCACTCTCATTAAACATCAGAAAACGAATACTGAAATGTTACATCGAGCCTGTTCTGTTGTATGGTACTGAATCTTGGAATGTCAGCAAATAAATTAAGCTGAGTTTGGAGGCAACTGAGATGTGATTCTTGCGAAGAATATTCCGAACCCCTTGGACTCCCAGTATAACTAACAATGATTGCCTGGAAGTGGCTAATGATAGTAGAACATTATATACAACAATGAGAAGAAGACAAATAAAGTTCTTTGGTCATATGGTGGAAAAAGAATCACTGGAAAGAACACAGGTAGAAGAGGTAGATGCAGACAAAGAGAAACGGTGGTGGATGATCAGATACCTAAAGACCGAGATCTTTGGAGATGCGTGAACGCCTGCACCAGCTGGCAAGGCACTTGATGATTACGAGATGACTTCCCTATTCTTTGGCAGATACACTCCGCCTTTGAATTGAACACCCTTATTTACGTACCTAGGAATCAAACTTTATTAGGAGGCTGAGGGGTCTCGAGGCATGGCGCCAGCCTATGGTACTGGACGTCCCGGGTTTAGGCCCCGGTGTAAGCTCGGATTTTGTTCCCGTGGACTTCTAGTAATTTATCCTGTTCTCTGGGTAATAAGATCGGACGCCTGCGTATATTGTTGCTCACGTAAAACAACCTCTTGGCAGTTGGAAATCAACCAGGGTAAGCTAACGGCGCTGCCCAGGCTCCATTTGGAGTTCACATTCTACCTAAAACAATTCAGGATCCTCGCTGGGTCTACGAAGTTTTTGCCCTGTGTTGAGATTCTTCGGACTCAGGCTTGAGTTAGAGGTAGAATGGAGCACTTTTGTGTCACTACCTATGTGCCACGATGTAGGCTTGAGTTAGAGGTAGAATGGAGCACTTATGTGTCACTACCTTTGTGCCACGATGCTGACCCTTGTTTACATCTAAACATAAGGGTCAATGGGGTCCCGGAACCCATACGAGAAAATGGTTGGCTAGAGCAGCCGCTGGCGGATCCCTTGTTAGCGGTCATTCATCAACATCAACTGTCGGCGACTGGCCTGGGCGATCATGCCTTCCCCATAATCTGCTATCTTCTACAGATGTGTCCAGTGGTCGCATGTTCCAGTTTCCCTGTTCTCATAACATGATTTTCTATAAACGATGACAGCCTATTTCTGATGTTTGTGAAAAGTTGACTTCGAGTACTCGCCTCTTTCAAAACTTCTGGATTCTCTTTAAGGCTGTGTAAAGAATTGTAAGTATTCTTACACGCAAAAATCCAGAAAGCAATGGCAAACTACTGGACGTAAATTTACCCAGAAAAAAAACCACAACAGCATAAAAGTGATGGGGTTGGTTCTGCAACGTCCTGTAAAGGATACGCAACTGACTAACACACAGTAAAGACTGCACGAGGTAAGGAGGAGAAGTAAAGAGGAGGTGATAATAGAGGAAAATAACAAGAGCAGACGGATTCGAAATGGAAGAATAAAAGCAGCCTTGTAAACGATGTGCCCTGAAATATTAACTGTAATTTCATTGTGTGTAGATGGAGCCATTTGATAGCTTCTCATGGGAGAATAGCTGAATTAGCCGGTTTGGAATAAATAAGGTCGTCTTTACGTCAAAATATGCTGTTAATACTAATTTCCGAAATATAAAGTCGAGAGAATCGATTTCATGGAACCGGGTTTTATCATATGTGACTCGGTCTCTCTCTGTAGAACGTCTAGAATCTAGATGCTGCCGAGAGCGTTGCACAAAGCACAATCTCTATAGTTCCAGTGACGATCATAGCGAGGTCACCGTTAAAACTGATACAAACAGGCGTCAGTGAAACGAACCTACGACCTTCAGAGCACCAGACAGACGACTCGACCACTACGCCACGGAGACCCTGTCAGAAAGATAACAAAACATGTCATAATTCTACACTCAAGTAGACAACAATAGATGAACAGCGTCCAAATGACCAGTTGTTTTCAGAGACATGAGAAGAACTACTATGTCGAAAATCTGTCCAATGGAACATAACACTATTCTGAAAGATTACAAAATATCACAGATTCAGACACTATGTATCTTTAACAGTAGAAGAAATTATTTTATGGACATCTAAAATGACCGGTAGTTTTCTGCGGCGGCAGGAGAACAGTTATATTAAAAATATGTCCAAGGGAACAACAGACATTTTTGAAAGATAACAAAATATGACATAGGTATACACTAGGTGCCTTTCAGTGTAGAGAAAATGATATTAAGAGCTTCTAAATGACCGGCTGTTTTCTCCGACGGTGGGCGAACTAAGAGCTTAGTAATCGGATTTGTGTTGGCGACTCACGGAAGGTCGTTAGTGGAACTGATTACCTACGTAAATGTGACTTAATGGCCGTATCGGAGATCTCATTTACCGAACTTCCTGGTATCGTTTATCTAATTATCAGTGTATGATAGAGTTGGGTGTGCAAAGGCGGATCACGGAATTAGGCATTCGGTTGTAAGGTGGGAACCTTTGCCTGATGAACGGGTTACATTTTCATCTTCGTGTTTATCAAGATTAGTGTACCGTGCCGCGGTGTGATGCGGCTGCAATAAATCACTACCCCGGAGCATTTACATTACAGAAGGTCGCTGGCATCAAGGTTGACCTCAAAAGCTTTTCATCATCATCATCCTCACTCAGTACCTCCTCACATTGTTCGTTCTCGTCAGAACACGCCTGGAAGTCTCTCTTTATCTAACCGATTCTCCAGCCCAGTGTGCTTTTATAGCCAATACGTCTTTATTGTCTTGTATCGGCCATCGCTGTGTCCCCTTGTACCCTCAGTCACCTCTTGTTTTTCTCAGCATGGCCAAAATACCTCAGCTTTAGAAACAGAAAGTTGAATATGAGCCAATTCTCTTCGAAGTTCGGATCAAGTCGTGTAGATGGTTTCTTTTTTCTTGGCCCATGGCCTTCGAAGAATTGCTTCTGCAACATTTCAGTTAAACAACTGCGACATGTGTCTTCAGTGATTGGTGAGGTCTCCGGGACTGACATACATCAGCTGGACGGCAAAGATGATCTCACAATTGTTGTTGAAACTCGTTTGCAGCTGCCCTGCCTTACTTTATTCGTATTCTTTCATCTCCACATTGTTAAACCAAGTCCTTGACATTTCGCAGTTTTACTTTCTCCGGCGTCTGAAGTTTAAGGGTCATGAAAGCAGTTACATAATTCAGGCATTAAAAAGGTTACAACAAAAAAATAACTTTTTTTCATGGGGGGTCGGGGGGTTGGGCAAATCGGGCATTTGAAGCTAGATTCATACTTGAATGAACCAATCGACACTCTGTGGATGTTACGGTGAGTATCACATGGACCGCCTTTACTTCCCCGAACTTAAGTTGGAAAACGCTTTAGGCCAGGTAGAACTGGGAACCGAGGTCATTTGTTACACCCACAAAATCCCACTATGTGAGGATTTGAACCCAAGACCTCCTGTCACACAGGCGTGCGTCTTGTCGCTACTCTAGGGCGGCTTTCATCAGCCTCACGGCTACCAATTATCGTTGAGCTGTATTCTGCTCCTCCCACGACACTTACTGACAAATGTGGAAGTTGATGATGATAATGACGACGACGGCAATGTTAATGTACAATCCAAGATAGAATAAAACGGACCGTTCCGTGTGTGTGTATTTTTTAAAATCTGTTTTGTTTCCATAGTTTAAATTCCTGAGAAATAACAGTTAGGTTTCTTTCATTATCTCGCTTAGTTTCGGATTTCCCAGTTGTCTGGAGAATTCTCATATTATCATTCTCTTCACGTTGCTATGGGGGATGCAAAAAGTGGGCTGGACAGAACAAGATAACGTACCAGCACTTGTTTTACTCGGTCAGGACCAAGACTTGGAGTCACCCACTGGGAAGAGGAGGACAGTCCGAAAGATGAATGGAGGCGGGTGTTGTCTGCAGATAGAGAAACTCTGCAATAGCACAACGTGTCTGTGGTCGAGGCGGCTCCAGAAGCAGGAAGTAGAACTTTATATCTCCCTTGATACCCGTAACGGCAAAAGTGGAAGTGAAGACGAAGCAGCAGAACCATGACTTTAGCCTTCCTCGCCCCCAAGAGGTCTTCTCATTTTTAATTGTTGAAATCGGCTATGAAAGATGAGTTCACCTCTGCCAGCAAGTATAAAGAACCCTTTTCCACGCCTTTGTGCGTGTTAGGCATATAGGGCTAAACCTTTATTTTCTAGATCAATCGGTAGTCAAGTATGAAGAGGGAAAAGACAACAGCAAAAACTAACAAAAAATGAAGGACGCCTTTTACGACACTGACGTAGCTAGCTTGTGGTGCTAAAGTCATCTCTCCGTAGACCACTGGTACCCAGTCCGCCTTACCTTCCGGGGACATTTCGAAAAACCCATTTTAGGCTCGGTCGACTTGAAGCCAGGATCATTTTGTAAAAACTACCTAAGACGCTTTCACATGTCTTCTTGTTTTCTGTTTCTTCTTCACTTTTTCTTTTAACGCTTTGGGTCTGGTGTCAATGGAAATTTCAGGTTTTGCTTCTTGTTTTTTCTGGCAGCCTCATCCAGAGACCTTTCGTATTGTTGTAGAGTTTCTCTGACGTTATCTTTTATAATATATATATTATTCTTGGTCTACCTTGTGCTCTTTATGCCTTTATATGTACCTGCTATTATTAGCGTGTGATAAGCGATCTAGATATGAAATCGGATGCTGAATTCTTTATGTTTTCGTTCCTGTATGTGTGCGTGTGTAAATATATATATTTCTGTAACCTACGGTGCCATATCATTGGTATCAGACGAATTATGTCCGTGTCTCACAGTTGTGGGTTCAAGCTGTACGATAGACAAAGCTAATAAAGACATCTTTTTTAAAAGTGCCTGACTGGACATAGTTCTAATAACATGTGTACCTGCAGCGAGGCACCGTCTTCATTTGGAGATGCTAGTTTCGCTTCCCAGTTGGTAAACTATAGCTTTTAAATTTTGTGTTATCTAATATGTACTTTTTTTTTCTTTCTATTTCTTTCTATAGATGCCAATCAATACATTATATTATTTGTCTCTTGATTTCTTGTAGGTAGCCCTGTTGCCACAATGCCACGCTCTGCTGGAAGACTAAAGCGGAGAGCTCCATCTATGGACATCAATGATGTACCCACCTACCCAACAGTCACTGAATATTTGCAAAGCTTACAGAGAAACCCTGAAATGTTCAACAACCTGAATTTACCACGGCAGTGGCTCTACAACCCGCTGAACCTACCGTTCAACCCAGTCTATCTGCACGAATTAGCGAAGAAACGAGATGTTTCATCTCTTGGCGCCGAAGATCTTCCCTATCTCCGTGAAATACTTTTGGCGGGAAACAACGACCTTGGTGGTACAGTTTTGGGCGAGCTGCCATTTTCTGAAAACTACGTGAAAAGACGTCTCCCACAAAATGCTAAAAATCGGAGGCCCTATAAACGGATTTCGCTAGGATTGTACGCTCGTCGAGCTCCTCATTACTCCCACAGCTTTGTGGGCAAAAGATCTGATTATGATTCCTATACTGATAGCTTGCCAGCGAAAGAAAGAATGCAAAGAACAGGCTTTGGATATTCTCACAGCGTCATTGGGAAAAGATCAGCCCCGACTGTTTCGCTCCGTGAAAACATCGACACACCAGGCACCATCTACCAGACTCAGCCTGGAGTTTCTGAGCCTGGGACGCAGAAAAATCCACATCTGGGCGGTCCGTACGTCGCTGAAAATCGGACATTGCACACTGCTAGTGTTTCATTGGGGAAAAGATCCATGGGATATGGCCATAGGTACATCGGGAAACGAACACTTCACGCTGCAGCTTCGTCGATGGAAGACAGACGTGGAAGACTTGGCTATTCTAGAGACGCTGGTCGCTTTGATGCACTAGAAGCTGTCGAAGATCGGCCTGCTGCACGCCTCAAAAATGCATACGGTTCTAACAAGCAACAGTTGCGGTATATCTTGGCATCTTATAACCAAAGCTCTATAGATAGACGCACCAGATATGGTCACCGATTTGTGGGGAAACGAGAACATGACCATGACGAAAATGTCCTAGAGAAACGTCCCAAATATGGCCATAGTTTTATAGGCAAACGTGAAGATGGTGATCAAAATTCTATAGATCAAAATTCTATAGATAAACGTCCCAGATATGGCCATAGTTTTGTGGGAAAACGTGAAGATGATGATCAAAATTCTATAGATAAACGTCCCAGGTATGGCCATAGTTTTGTGGGAAAACGTGATAATGATGATCAAAGTTCTATAGATAAACGTCCCAGGTATGGCCATAGTTTTGTGGGAAAACGTGATAATGATGATCAAAGTTCTATAGATAAACGTCCCAAATATGGCCATAGTTTTATAGGCAAACGTGAAGATGGTGATCAAAATTCTATAGATCAAAATTCTATAGATAAACGTCCCAGATATGGCCATAGTTTTGTGGGAAAACGTGAAGATGATGATCAAAATTCTATAGATAAACGTCCCAGGTATGGCCATAGTTTTGTGGGAAAACGTGATAATGATGATCAAAGTTCTATAGATAAACGTCCCAGATATGGCCATAGTTTTGTGGGAAAACGTGAAGATGATGATCAAAGTTCTATAGATAAACGTCCCAGATATGGCCATAGTTTTGTTGGAAAACGTGAAGATGATGATCAAAGTTCTATAGATAAACGTCCCAAGTATGGCCACAGTTTTGTGGAAAAACGTGAAGATGATGATCAAAGTTCTATAGATAAACGTCCCAGATATGGCCATAGTTTTGTGGGAAAACGTAAACATGATGATCAAAGTTCTATAGATAAACGTCCCAAGTATGGCCACAGTTTTGTAGGAAAACGTGAAGATGATGATCAAAATTCTATAGATCAAGGTTCTATAGATAAACGTCCCAGTTATGGTCACAGTTTTGTTGGAAAACGTGATAATCATGATCAAAGGTCTATAGATAAACGTCCCAGATATGGCCATAGCTTTGTTGGAAAACGTTATAATGATGATCAAAGTTCTTTAGATCAAACTTCTATAGATAAACGCCCCAGATATGGTCACAGTTTTGTGGGAAAACGTGAAGTTGATTATCTAAGTTCTATAGATAAACGTCCTAGATATGGCCATAGCTTTGTGGGCAAACGTGAGGATGATGATCAAAGTTCCATAGATAAACGTCCCAGATATGGTCACAGTTTTGTGGGAAAACGTGAGGATGATGATCAAAGTTCTTTAGATCAAAATTCTATAGACAAACGTCCCAGATATGGTCACAGCTTTGTGGGAAAACGTGAGGTTGATGATCAAAGTTCTTTAGATCAAAATTCTATAGATAAACGTCCCAGATATGGTCACAGTTTTGTGGGAAAGCGTGAGGATGATGATCAAACTTCAATAGATAAACGTCCCAGATATGGCCATAGCTTTGTGGGCAAACGTGAGGATGATGATCAGAGTTCTGTAGATAAACGTCTCAGATATGGTCATAGTTTTGTTGGAAAACGTGATAATGATGATCAAAGTTCTATAGATAAACGTCCCAGATATGGACACAGTTTTGTGGGAAAACGTGATAATTATGATCAAAGTTATATAGATAAACGTCCCAGATATGACCATAGTTTTGTAGGAAAACGTGATAATGATGATCAAAATTCTATAGATAAACGTCCCAGATATGGCCATAGTTTTGTGGGAAAACGTGACGACATTTATACTGATGAAAGTTCCATAGATCAAAGTTCCATAGATCAAAATTCTATAGACAAACGTCCCAGATATGGCCATAGTTTTGTGGGGAAACGTCCGAGGTACTTTCATAGTTTTTTGGGAAAGCGTGCTGATGATATTGCTCAAAGTCCTGTTGATAAGCGTCCTCGTTATGGGCATAATTTTGTGGGGAAACGTCCAAAGTATGGGCACAGCTTTGTGGGAAAACGTCCAAAGTACGGACACAGCTTTGTTGGAAAACGCAGTGATGAATTAGATCAGAGTACCATAGATGGACATTCAAGTTTTGGTGAAAATGTTCTCGAAAAACGTCCAAAATATGGGCATAGTTTCATTGGAAAACGTCCCAAATTTGATCTTGGATATGCAAACAATGATCCTCACGATATAGAAAACGACTACGCCGCCTCATCAGCTGTTGACAACGATCTTATTGCTCCACCCAAAGAAGTGAACTTGGCACCTGCAAACATAAAACTGTCTGTGGCAGGTATTTCAGCTCCCGCTCTACGAGAAAGACATTTACAAGCAAGCGACTTATCGGTTGAACTAAACAAGGAAATAGACAAGGCGGTAGAAGTGATCAGAAATAGTTTTTCTCGCACACTCCTTGGAAAAAGTCTTAGCGGTGGAAATATTAATGATTTTAGACCAAATAGTCTCACAGAACTAGAAAATGGCGCCGGTAAAGGCATTTCTGACAGCGTCGATTTGGAATCGGAAAGTGACAGAAAGTTAGAGGCCTCATTCCGTACAAGAGCTACAACAGACGCACACAGACAGTTAGACAGACAAGATAACCGCAGCAGAAATACTCTTTTGAAAACATAGATAGGTTTGCCTTAATCATGTTTAAACGACCGGCTAGGCTTCAATCATGCAAACATAAAGTCTAGGGCATCTTACCGATAGAGGTAACGGGGAACTGATAAAACAGTCAACACCAACTGGTGACCCAAGGACGAACGGTGTTAAGGGACTATTATAGTGAAGATGTTACGGGTTTTTCCAATTCCCACTTTATTCCCAGCTATTTTTAGCCATTTCTTTTTCAAACGTAGCCAAACACAAGTCAGCTGTTTTTCATTAATTACTTCTTCTGTTGAGGAGTGAGTGACCTAGTTGTTAGCTCGAAAAGCTTGCATTGGAAAGACCCGGGTTCCAATCCTCCGTAATGGTGAAAGATATCTGACAGAGTCAAGTAGAGTGATCTTACCTGCACATTTTTGTCGTGATTGCATTACCGTATCCTTCCTCCAAAATACGCCTTAGTTAAATTTGTCAGCTAGAACCAACAGGCTGCATGGACAAGAAAATATTTACGGAAAGTTTGCTGAAAATGAGTGACTGGGGCCAACGGTTGTGCAGGAAAATGGAGTGGCACGAAATTCAGTTCGGAATTCGGAGAGCTGTGACGATTTTCCGGAAGTTGACATTGTTTTGAGGATTACGTGTAGAATTGTGTACATAAATAATAAAAAAAAAGGAAAACCATATTAGGTAGTTTTTTTTGTTTTTTTCTCTAAGAGAAACACGGTAGCCAATCGGTCCTGTATCCTTGGGCTGGAGACTCCTTGTCTTGCTCAGTAGAGACACAGTTGTACCTGAAGTTATACCGTGATGTGAATTATCTTATTTTAACAAATACACACAAATGCCAACATTGAAAGTAACATCCGCATATCTATTTGTTATAATTATGGTTATAAATATATTAATATGAAAATCGAAACATCAAGTGACAGAGGGTACCCGAAAGAAAATGTATTGAAGGAGTCTCTAGCAATCTAAGACTTTACAACATCCCACATACTAAGCAACTGATCGCGCTTTGGCTCGACAACCTATCATCTAGTAAACTGCAACGCAACACAAGTGAGAATTTGATACAAGAAAGGAGAGGTATTTTTTTGTCTCAATATATATTTTATGTAAACATGTGAGAAAATCGTGGAAAAGTCCTGGCCAAATAAATAAGTACCTAACAACGAACAGAGAGTTGTCTTTTCTAGTGTGAAACAGGATAGGATTCATCTCCCCTTGACTCGACAAGTACTATGTGTGTGTGTGTATGGGGACAGAATTCATCTCCCCTTGACTGGACAAGTAGTATGCGTGTGTATGGGGACAGAATTCATCTCCCCTTGACTGGACAAGTAGTATGTGTGTGTAAGGGGACATAATTCATCTCCTCTTGACTGGACAAGTAGTATGTGTGTGTATGGGGACAGGATTAATCTCCCCTTGACTAGACAAATACTATGTGTACTTGGACAGGACATACACAACCTTGTTGGCATCCCCCCTGCCCCCCCCCCCTGCCCCCCCCCCCCCCCCCTTTTTACCTAAAAAAACCACTAAGATAATTAGAAGAGGAGGAGATCGGGAAGAGGCGATGATGATGATGATGATTAGGACGACGACGAAGAGGAAGAATGGAATTAGATTAAGAAGAAGAGGTTCGCATTGTACTGCTACTGCTGCTGATGATGATGAGGAGGAGGAGGATGATAAAGTATCTTTTTTTTTCTTTCGCATGTATTAGCAGTAATCAGTACCAGATGTTGAATGTTCAGTCAGTGAGACGTGACACACTAACCCAGCCAGTGTTGGTCCACCCTGTTGAATGAGTGCATGTGTTTGTGTCTCTCCTGGGAAGGCCACCTCGATGTTCATGAATCAGGATCAAGCAAGTGCGGACACCAGATTTGGCCCTGCGGTTCTCATAGTCTTGTCATCTGTCACTGGATCTTTGGGCATCAGCGGTTCTCACAGTCTTGTCATCTGTCACTGGATCTTTGGGCATCAGCGGTTCTCACAGTCTTGTCATCTGTCACTGGATCTTTGGGCCTCAGCGGTTCTCACGGTCTTGTCATCTGTCACTGGATCTTTGGGCATCAGCGGTTCTCACAGTCTTGTCATCTGTCACTGGATCTTTGGGCATCAGCGGTTCTCACAGTCTTGTCATCTGTCACTGGATCTTCGGGCATCAGCGGTTCTCGCGGTCTTGTCATCTGTCACTGGATCTTTGGACATCAGCGGTTCTCACAGTCTTGTCATCTGTCACTGGATCTTTGGGCTTCAGCGGTTCTCACAGTCTTGTCATTTGTCACTGGATCTTTGGGCATCAGCGGTTCTCACAGTCTTGTCATCTGTCACTGGATCTTTGGGCATCATCGGTTCTCACAGTCTTGTCAGCTGTCACTGGAACTGTGGGCATCAGCGGTTCTCACAGTCTTGTCAGCTGTCACTGGATCTTTGGGTATCAGCTTTTCTCTCCCACTAGTCTAATATTCTGTGAGAATTGTCGTCATTATCATCATTATCATCACATTCTTCTTCTTATTCTTTTTCTTTTTCTTCTTTTCTTTTTCTTCTTCTTCTTCTTCTTCTTCTTCTTCTTCTTCTTCTTCTTCTTCTTCTTCTTCTTCTTCTTCTTCTTCTTCTTCTTCTTCTTCTTCTCGTCCTTATTGGGGAAAAAAGGTAGGGGGGTATCCGCATGTTTCTTTGTGGCCCTGGCGTGGAGGAACCTCTAAAATTGTTTGAGAAAACCAAGGAATTAAACACTTGGAGAGACATAAACCTTTGTGTCATCTTGTATGCCACGTGATGATGGCGATAAAGCTCTTTATGAGCTCCGAATTATTTTTCAGGGGATGACTGGCTCGGAAATTGAAATACTATTGCCAGATAAAAAGTCACTGGGGACTGGAGAGAACAGTTTGGTACCATAAAAGAGGGGCAGGGGCCGACCATCACGAAGATAGGCACAGGGCAGCAGAGATGGGAGAAACAATGCGCCGGAAAGAACGTATAGCGGGAATGCTAGCGAGAGGCCACGTTTCTTTCATACAGGCTTCGATGAGAGCGACGTTCTATAAAAGATCTGATTCAGATGTTTGAGTGGGCCAATGCTGAGTTGTCCGACAAAACATCTCTTAGTCTGAATGAGAAGTTATCAAAATGTTTTCAGGTATCTGCCACTTGACTGCAGGTCAAAAACCCCTCCCCTAACCATCTCTTCCTTTTCGCAACTTAAAAAAAAAAATGATTACAAACTGGTAACAAAACCTGGAGAAGAACAGACATAAATCAAATGTCAAATAACAAAAGAAACAATCACCAACAACTGGTAATTCAGTGTCCAAATATCAGAGCGATGGTTGATACTGTTTTGCCTTGATGATATCTGGTATTTTTGGTTTGATGTTGGAGAGCCCACAGGAGGCATTACTCTCCACACCAAGATGGAAACT